TTTTTTTGGGGGGGGGGGGGGGGGGTATGGCAGCGGTGGTGTAGCGGCGTGGTGATGTTGGTGTCGCAGATCTAGGGTTCAGTGGAGGAGATCTACGGTTTGGTGGGGCGGATCTAAGATTTTTCGATTTCATGTTTATAGATGTCTATGAGTATCTATGGGTGTCTATGTTGCTGACGGCTAGGGTTCAAACGAGGAATTAGGGTTTTAAGAATATGTGACTACGAATTACTATAGTTTCCTATGGTTTTCTATGGGTTTCTATAGAAGACTACGGCCGAAAAAAATTAAAAAATCATAATTTTCAGTATTATGTAGAAAAAAAGGAAAAAATACCAAAATACGAAAAAAAATGTTATACGAAAAAAAATAATAATAAAAATGCTAGATGCGAAAATAAAAATGTTCAATGTAGAATAAAAAAATGATAAATTCATTTTAAATATTACTTGGTGTATATTTCATTATCCGTATGTAGGGGTATTATTGGAATGAAATTTATAAATGATGTGAAACTAATGTTTAATTAGACTTTTTATTTAATTCTAATATGTTTTTTCACCAGTGACCTATATCTTAAAGCCCCTAAATTAATTCATAACATAAATATACAATTTATTTTACAAACTCATACTCTGAAAACGTCACCGGAGCCCCACCACCGCCCATGATCCGGGAACTGCGACGTCTATGACTCCACGAACTGCAAATAGCAAACTGAAAAATAGATTTTATATTATAGAATTGCAAACAACAAAATGCCTATGATTTTCATCAAATGCAAACAACAAACTGAAAAAATAAAACTCATAATTTGTATTACTAAATTACAAATAAAAAATTACCTATGACTTCGCCAAATGCATACAGCAAACTGAAGTTAAACATTCAGCAAAACTTGCATTATTGAATTGCAAGCAATAAACTACATATACCTTGGCCAAATGCAAACAACAAACTGAAAAAAAATAAAAAAAATCAGCATAATTAAAAACATCAACCAAAAAATTGTTTATAGAACAATTTGCAAACAACAAAAATATTAAACAAAATGTTTGTAGAGTGTAACATAAGACATACCTTGCAAATTGTAAACCAGAGGAATCGACTCTCAACATCAAACGTAATTCTTCAAACAACAAACGAAATTAAACCAACTACAAACGGAAATTGCTAACAACAAACGATGGGAGGTTCTACATACGGAAAATACAATGCGAATTTGGGTAGGATTTTGGATTTCCATTTTTTTGAGAGGGGATGTTTGTCGTCCTATTTAATTCTTTCACAAAGAAATCCTCTCGTAACCTTGTTTTTTTTTATCTCTATAATATTTCTTCATTAAAAAAAAGAAAACGAAAAAGAAAAAAAAAAGAGAAGCGAGAGAGAGAGAGAGAGAATTGAGATGCAGAAGGAGAGAGAGATGAAGAATTATATAGGGGGAAAGTAACGTGAGATAGGAGAGAGAGAATATATAAGATTTGTTTTCTTATTAACTGAGGGTGTTATGGTCTATATACTAATTATTTTAATTTATCTATATTAATTTATTGGGTCAAATGATCTATGCCTATATTCATCTAATAACTAGGATTTCTAGCCATGTAAGTCCAAAATAAGGGGTGTCTAGCAAATTTCCCCTTATAAAACATCCAGACATTATTCCGAAGTGTAAAATACTAAAATATCCCCTCACATTTTAATTTGCTCTAATTTCATCATTTAATTGAATTTAACCTCAGTTTAACCCCAAATTTCACAAATTATTCAATTTTGACTCAAAATTCAATTTTGAGTATAATTTCACCCGTCGCCGCCGTAGACCACCAGTCTCTGGCGTTGACTTTTTTTTTCTCCTTCTTTCTCCATCGGTTTCAGTGGTTGACCGCTGGTCTCCGGTGTTGACTTTTTTCGATTGTTATTTTCTTCAACATCTTTTTGCCCGTTTAAACAGTAATATTGTTGTGGTTGACTGTCATATTAGTACTATATTACTGTTTAACACAATAATATAGTTAACACAACAAAAACTGTTATTGTGTAATAGAGTAATATTAATATGTTGATCGTTCAACAAAGGCAAATATAATAAAGCCAAAAAAATTAATATTGATGTGGTTGACAGTAATATTACCGTCATCCACGGTAATATTACTGTAACGACAATAACATTACCGTCAATCAAGTAATATTGTTGTGTTTATAGTAATATTACAATAGTAGACAATAATATTATTACGTTAATCAGTCAACAAATTAAACAAAACAAATAGGCAAAAACAAATAATATTGATGTGGTTGAGAGTAATACTATTGTGTTTACAGTAATGTTGACTTGTCAGCAAATGAAAAAAAGTCAAAACAATAATAATTTTTTTGTGGTTGACAGTTTTTGTACTGTCAACGACAGTAGAAATACGTTATGCGACAGTATAATTACTACAAACTACAGTTTGCAGCCTTGAACTATAAGGTTTGTCCCAAACACCTCCTTGAACTACAAAATGTAACAAAACGGCCCCTATCTTTTATGATCAATGTTTGACAAACTAACACTGTTAGTTTTTCTTGGCAATTACTTAATCACCCTTAAATTTATTTAATTTAAAAAGTTGGACTAGCCAATTCTTTCTTCATATCTTCTTCAACATGTCAATGGTATCTCTGAGTTAACATGAATGGGCACGCTTCTTCCCACCTGGAATAAATCCAAAACTCCGACGATTCCATCACACGTCGGCCGGAATACTTCCCACTATTGCCGCCTCTTCCGATCCCAAATCTCCAGTCCGCAGCAAACACATTCCCACCAACGAAGATTCATCCTCCCCAATCCCAAATCGCCGGAATTTTTCCCCGCTCCGGCATCCAAACTGCCGCTCGTCGTTTACTATCACTGGGGAATATTCATCCTTGTACCTCCCCTTGACGGAATTTTTCCCCGCTCCGGCTGTTAGAGTAGGTGACCAACAAGCCAACTTGTGGCTGTGGTCTTTCACATTTATTATGGTAATAAACGAACCTTTTCCGTATTAATGATAAAACACCTTGGCATTCTATATATTTGTCCCTTTTTCGCAAACATAGATATAGTTCTTACAGTTATTACAAGTACTAGTAATTGATCTTTAGGATCGTGAGATATTTACTTAAGTATTATAACTGTTAAACATGTTCCTAGTCGAAGGGTTACGCCACCAATGAGGATATCGGCCTTTCCCATTAAGAGACTAGAACTTAGTGTATGTGTACTGCATCTCATCAGTAAACGGTATTGTGATATCGGCATGCATAAGTGGGTGCTCGTAAGTTGACGAGTTCACTGAACTTCCTCACCCTAGAAATCTCTAAGTGGTTCCCAATAATCGAGTAGAGATATCTGTGGTATAGTTGTACACCATTAGTCCTTATGACCTAGACATCACCGTGACTTCACTAGAGGACCAGCTGTATCGTGACCTGTCCCTAAGTTCCATCGAGGACCACCCGAAGGGCCAGTGTGTTGGGTTTCGGGCACGCATACGCAGCGGAAAACAAAAATTTTATGCGATTTAAACAACTTTAAAGCACATAAACACATGCCCATTAAATGAAACCAATTAATTGCGTACATTTGCGCTTCCAGCGAAATTAAAAACAACATACATGCTTAATAATTGAACCGAATTTAAATCAATTAACATGCTCGCGTTTAAATCAATTAACATGCTTGCAAAGATTAAATCGATTACACATAATCACATAAAATCATACGATAGCAAACATGAATTCATAGTTTAAACATAAATAAATCGAAACTAGGGTTTCGTGTGTTTACCTCTTGTAGCGTGATGTAGGAGCGCTTATCAAGTCGAGATTGCTACGGAAACCAATCCGTACAATCGGGGCAGCAGCGGTGCAGCAGCAGCGGCGGTGTGGCGGCTCACGGCGGCGCGTGAATTA